CATTCAGACTCCATAGTTTTTTCTCTGGATGTGGATAGCATTTTCCATTGTGAGTCTTTTGAAGTTGTCTTAGATCCTTGCATTGCTGAGAAGAGCCAAGTCTATCAACGTCACTCATCACACAACGTAGCTGTTACTGTGTATAACGTTCTCCTGGTTCTGCTCATTTCACTCAGTATCAGTTCATATAAGTCTTTCCAGGGTTTTCTGAAGTCTGCCTGCTCATCGTTTCTTATAGCACAATAGTATTCCTCTTTTCTGATTTTTCTCTACAAAATGGTTTCTTAAGAGTGCCATGGTCTTCCCTCTCCCTCTCTTCATCCCTCCCTGATTTCTTAGAACCGTATCCATAGCCATTCCCTTCTGAATGAGAAGTTTTCCCTGTTCTCAGGCCAATAAGAACTCCCATAAGGGAGTATCCATCAGCTTACTAGAGCCAGTACCTGTGGTACCTTCATCAGGGATCACTCACCTCTAAGGAGGTACCATCTAGATGTAGTGGATAAGGACATGAAGGTCCAGGAAAGGACAGTCCTTTGAGCAGAAATCTTATGAGAGCACCCTGAGGTGTTCTTTCTGCAAAGGTATAACCCACTATAAAATGGAGACTTGCAGTCTTAATCCCTTTGTGGTTGCCATAACTGTTTTGGTGGAATAAAGACATTGAGTAATTACACCCAGACAATAATTTATTTAGCAAAGCATGCAATTGCAAAACAAACTGATTCCAAGGCTTTCAGTAAAAACAAGGATCCTAAACCTTGGTTTCTACGGTTATTCAAGGTTGGAGGGAAAAAGAAAAAAAATGAACATAGGGATTAAGTCACCTTATTTCTTATTAGTAGAGAGGCTTGAGACTTTCCCCAAAATCGGGTCACAGTGGGAAAGGGGGGAAGTAGTTCTATGATTTCCTTGAAATCTGACAACTTAAAAGAAGTTAAAACTTAACTTCACAAAATGGTGAATAAGGGCAAAATGGAGTTACTAATGCTATTTTAATGTATCACATCTAGTAAGTGTCCTGGGTGGGATTCAAATCCAATTCTTCCTTCTCTTTACTTTACTGCAATTCCTCTCAAATTTGAAGTGTATATAAAAGGAGATAAAAGAGTGAGAGCATTAATACCTGTTGTCAGAGGTGGTTAAAGCCTTTGCAAAGTATAGATGAGGAGGGAATCCCTTCCAGGCATGGAAGGGATGACCTATTGCAAAGGCTCCAGGGTGGTAGATGGAATGTGGAGGTGACTGTTTTGATTAGAACTGAGAGCTGGTGAAGGGGAGTTAATAACATGAAAGGTAGGAGAAGCCATTTCAAGCCCTCCACAACTTGGCTTCTCCTTCTTTGTTTCCCATGTATTGTCTTGAATACAGTAGGTCCCTAATAAATGCTTGGTGGATTTGTTTTCCCAGGCAATCCATCCTTCCTTGCTCTGTTCACCCAAACCATTACTCACCACTCAACCCTATTGAATCATAGGGATTTCCATACCGATTTTGTCTAACCTTCTCATTTTTCAGATTTGACAGCTGAGGCCAGGGAAGGTTTAGCTCTGAGCCCTCTCAGAAATTGACCATATTTCTACCTGCCTCTCAACTGTGCCACTTTTTCTAGGCAGATTCTCACTTTGCCTTCTTCCAGAGAGAAATCGTCGTTCAGGAGATGAAAACTATTTCAACCCTCTTGTACCCCTTCCTTAATGGAAGAATGATGGGGGACACTTTCAGCTGCTTCTAGGAGCCCCCACCCATTGCCTTGGCTTGTGACAAATGGGGTTAGATTACTAATTCCCTAATTGTTGCCAGGAGGCCATGCATCCATCCTGTGTTTATGCCCCAGTGCCAGGAGATTTATTTTAATAGAAGCCTTTAAGTACCTGGCATTCTTGCTAATCTCAGGGCATCTGTGCACTCAGCTTCCCACTCCCCTCCCCCTCCAAGTGATTTAATGCTATTACTTGAGCTAGAGGGGAGCACGTCATCATCTGTACTAGAGAAAAGCTAGCAATAAGCATCCTGAACATAGCTACCCAAGATGAGCCAAAGAAGGCTGGGGAGGGCCTGAGAAGCCGGGACAGTCCAGAAAGAGGCTGGTGGCAGCTTGCTGGGCTGGGCCAGTCCTGGCATGAGGCCAGCTGAGCCGCACCAAGAAATTCCAGAGGTGATCCCCTTGTGCTGGCTCCCAGCATGCCGTGGGTCTAAGTTTGGATCCCAGCTTTCTGTGAGTGGTCATGGTGACTACTCAGGGGCTCCTGACCAGCTGACTCCCACATTCCATAGTATTTAAACCAACTCCTCCTGGCCTGGTGTGGAGACCAAGCCCACATTCTTCATGCCCTCTGCAAAGCCTTGGTGAGAGGCATCTAGTCCTCAGCCTCTTTCACTTCCCACTTAATATAGATGTCCTCCAAGGATCTGTCCTGGTTCCTCAGCTCTCTCTCTCTCTCCCTCTCTCTCTCTCTCTCTCTCTCTCTCTCTCTCTCTCTCTCTCTCTCTCTCTCTCATGCTCTCTCTCTCTATATATATATATATATTTATGTATTATATATATATGTGTGTATGTGTGTGTATACTATTTCACATGGTTCTATCATCTTTGATCTCTTTGCTAATGATCCCCAGTCTCTATATTCAGCCCTCTTCTCTCTCCTGAGCTCTAAGTCCCACAATGACAACTGCCCCACTTCCTTTTTTTTTTTGGAGGCATTTGGGGTTAAGTGATGCATCCAACATCACACAGCTAGTGGCTGAAGCCAGATTTGAATTCAGTCCCTCCTAACTCCAGGGCTGGTGCCCTATCCACTGTGCCATCTTGCTGTCCCTGCCTTTAGACATCTTGGATATCCTGTAGGCATCTTGACTCGATATATCCAAAATAGAACTCATTTCCGCCCCCCACCCCCAACCCTTCCCTATTCCAAACTTCCCTTTTACTATTGAGGGCATGACCATCCTCTCAGGCACCCAGTCTCACAACCTTGCCGTCATCCTTGACTTCTCAGCTTCACTCATCCCATACATATAATCCTAATAACAGTCATAGCTAACATTTGTATAACACGTACCATTTGCCAGGCACCTTGCTACGCACTTTATAATTATTATTTAATTTTGTCCTCACAATAAACCTGGGAGGTAGAAGCTGTTATTATCCTCGTTTTACAGATGAGGAAACTGAGGCAGGTAGGTGAAGTGACTTGCAAAGGGTCACAGAGCTAGTTAGTGTCTGAGGCCAGATTTGAACTCAGATTTTCCTGACTCCAGGTCTGGCATTCTATCCATTGCACCACCTAGCTGCCCCATATAATAGGTGATATATAAATGTTGTTATACAAAATTATATAAAATATATTTTGTACATTACTTAAAAGTTATTATTATTATTATTATTATTATTATTATTATTATTATATCACTGGCCCTTTAGTCTGACCCATACCCTAATTTCCATGACAGTATATTGAATTGAGTGGTTATTCTCTACTTGGAGACCTTTGAGGCAGGGAAGCCCACCCCCTCTCAGGGAAACCTATCCCACTTTAGGGCTGCTTGGATTAAGAAATTTTCCTCTATGTCTAGCCTCAGTTGGAGTCCTTGCATTTCCATCTCCCTTCCACCCCACATTACTCCTGATTTTTCCCTCTGGGGCCAAATAGGACAGGTTCTATCCCCTCTCCATATGACAGCCCTGCAAAGAGTTGAAGAACCCACCTGTCAGCACCGTGCCTAGCCCAGAGGAAGCTAGTCAGTCTATAGGCTAATAAGCATTTATTAAGCACCTACTGTGTGCTAAATGCTGGGCATACGTGGCCTTGTCCTCAAGGAGCTTACAGTCTAATGGGGTAGAGCACTTAAGAAATACTTTGCTGACTTGCCTGGGAATCCTTTTCTCTATGCTCAGCTTCCTCAGTTTCCTCAACTGCTCTTCATATGGAAAAAAAAAAAAGGACCTAGCCTATCAAGTTCCTTCTTAAATTGTGGTGCCCAGAGCTGAACACAGTTCTCCAGATGAGGTCTGACCATGGCAACAGTGCAGTGGGACTCTCATCTCCTTATTCCTGGAAGCTGTGCCCTTATTGTGATGCCCGAGACTGCATCATGCTGCCAGCTTGTAGAGCTGTGTGACTTTGGGCAAGTCACTTAACCCCAATTGCCTCACCAAAAAAAAAAAAAGAAGAGAAAAAGAAAGAAAGAAATCAATGCTTGTTGACTTTCCTTGACTCTAGAAGTCTCAAGTCCTGGGTTCAAATCTTGGACCTTCCACTTAGACTTTTTTTTTTTTGAGGCAGTTGGGGGTTAAGTGACTTACCCAGGGTCACTTATAGCTAGTAAGTGTCTGGGGCTTGATTTCAACTCAGGTCCTCCTGACTCCAGGGCTGGTGCTCTATCTACTGTGCCACCTAGCTGCCCCTACTTACCCTCTTTAACCCTGGCCAATTCACTTCATCTCTTCAGGCCTCAGTTTCTTCATCTTAAAATGAGGGGTTGGATGGGTTGGTCTCTTAGGTCCCTTTCAGTTCTAAATTTACAATCCGTGATTCTTAGGTGAGTCTCTTGATCCCCCAAGGCCTCCGTTACTCCGTGGTTAAATGAGGAGTTGGTCCTTGCGGCCTCAAAGGCCCTTCCCAGCTCTGAATCCTGTGATCTGTGCTTGGGGGGCTCACCCTCAAAGCGGTCAGCCCCTGTCGCCGCAGGCACCGCTCTCTGGTGGATCTCACTGTCCTCTGCTCTGTAACCTCCACAGCCAGGCACGGCGCTGATGTGTGGCATCAGGTTTGATGAACACTCCACTCCAGAGCCCCACTTGACTTCCCTGTGTGAGCAGCGCCTGGGAGCTCGGGCTTGCTTCTGCCGGGATGCCATGGCCACTTACAGGCCTCTTGAGGCTTGCCAAGTGCTTCCTGGTCCCCGGGAGCCCCTTGACTCCCGCCTGCCTGTCAGAGAGAAGGACCTGGGCTCTGGGAACGAGTCACATGTTAACACGTACCTGTGTGTCTTTGCAGAAAAAGAGCCGTGAGGAGACGTGTGGCGAAGGCAGCGGGGTAGAGATCCTGGAAAACCGGCCGTACACCGATGGGCCGGGGGGCGCTGGCCAGTACACGCACAAGGTGTACCATATTGGTATGCACATCCCCAGCTGGTTCCGCTCTATCCTGCCCAAGGCAGCCTTGCGGGTAGAAGAGGAATCCTGGAATGCTTACCCCTACACCAGGACGAGGTGTGTGCACATCGGGCTACAGGGCAGAGGTCTCCCTTCACCCTCACCCTCCATACACACATCAGTAACACAGCCCCTGGTTTGTCAAACCAATGACTGCCGCCATATTGCAGAGTCGTCTACCGACCTCAAAATGGTCTGTGAGTTCCACCAGTATCAATCAACTAACATTTCAGGGGTAGCTAGGTGGCACAGTGGATAGAGCACCAGCCCTGAAGTCAGGAGGACCTGAGTTCAAATCCGGCCTCAGACCAAACACTTGACAATTACTAGCTGTGTGACCCTGGGCAAGTCGCTTAACCCCAATTGCCTAAAAAATAAATCAACTAACATTTCTTAAGCACTTGCAATGCCAGGCATTGTACTACATGCAAAATGGGATCACGGGGTATGGGAAAGAGATTCCTGTAAAGAGGCAGGGCAATGATTGAGTTGACTTTCTAACCTTGGATAGTGAAGATTCCACTAGCCCAGGAAGAATCAATCATAGAATTTTAGATCCTGAGGGGGCAGCTAGATGGTACAGTGGATGGAGCACCAACCCTGAAGTCAAGAGGGCATGAGTTCAAATCTGGCCTCAGATACTTGCTAGCTATGTGACCCTCAGCAAGTCACTTAACCCTGATTGCCTTCAAAAAAAAAATTAGATCCTGAAGAGCCCTTAGCACAGAGAATGTCAGAGCTGAGAGGAGGCTTGGAGCACAGAACATGAGACTTGGGTGATACATTGGAACCTCAGAATGTCAGAACTAGAAAGGCCCTCAGAGCACAGAATGTGTGAAAAGAGAGGGACACTCTGCTCCTACCTCAATCCCTGACTCAACCATGAGGGCAAGAACATTCCTTGAGGTCAATGCCCTATGCCTCCATTTTTCCATCTTATCTCTTAGGGACTTTGTGTTTAAGACACTAGTGCCGTTGTTGCCCCAGAGTGACCTACCTCTTTTATTTGTTTTGTTTTATTTTGTTTTGTTTTTTGCTAGGCAATGGGTTTAAGTGACTTGCCCAGGGTCACACAGCTAGTAAGTGTCAAGTGTCTGAGGCCAGGTTTGAACTCAGGTCCTCCTGACTCCAGGGCCAGTGCTTTATCCACTGCGCCACCTAGCTGCCCGGTCACCTACCTCTCTCCAGTGACCTTTCTTTACTAGGACTGGGACCCAGAGAGATATTAAGAAATCCCATGGAGTGGACTTTTGTGCCTCCAGGTCCATAAACAGCCAACTCTCCACCGTAGTGAGGGTGTGTTTATGTCAAGTGCTTTATAATGCTAGCTGATGATGATGATGATGATGATGATGATGATGATTTATTGACAGGTTCTAAGGTCCCCCTGCATCCCTAGAACTATGATCCAATGACCTCCTGGCTCTGGGCACTTTCATGTGGCAGTGGGAGCATCTTCCCTCCATCCCCTCAGGCTCCAACCTTTCATTAACTCTGCTGTACCACACCTTGCCTGCCAGACGGGGTTTGTAGATAGCCCAAGAAACCTTGAGGTCAATAGGACCCTAAGGAAGAGGTGGGATTCTGGTTCAGAGAAGCCTCTCCCCAGGACCAGGACCCACCCCACCCTCTGCTGTCTCCACCATTCACTCTGACCTTATGTCTAGAAGAGGAGAGTGAAGGAGGATGGGGGCCCATTGCTAGATTTCAGCTCAATGTTCTGTGTCCCTGGGAGTGGAGGCTCTCTCAGATCTGCAGAAACCCCCTCCTTCCCAGTACTCTGGTCTAGTTATGGGCCCAGCCTCTCACAGTCCTTCCTCCAGAGCCGGGAGCTGTCCCTGCTGATTTCCCTCACTCCTGGTTCAGAGCATTCACACCGGGAGACTCACTTCTGCTGTCGTCTTCTCCTCCCCCACAGGTATACGTGCCCTTTTGTGGAGAAGTTCTCCATTGACATTGAAACTTTTTATAAACCCGACGCAGGAGACAGTGCCAACGTGTTCAACCTCTCTCCTATGGAAAAGAGACAGACCACACTGGGTGAGTATTTCCTGCCGGGTCCTGGACATCCTCCCCTGCCTCCCCAGCCACCCACTCCCCCTGGCACAAGCAACCAAAGAGGTCTGGTGAGTGAAGGAGGTCCAGGCTGCAAGCCAGGGGTCTCTCTCCAGCTAAATACGTTCCTGATGCTACAAAACTCTTCTGAATGGGGTTTTTTAGTTAACTTTTAGCCTGTGTGGTGGTAATAAAAATAGTAGTAAGTAGTGATAGTAGTAGTAGTAGTAGTAGTAGTAGTAGTAGTAGTAGTAGTAGTAGTGGTAGTAGTAGTAGTGATAGTAGTAATGGTGGTAGTGGTAGTAGTAGAAGTAGTCACAGTAATAGTAGTAGTAGTAGTGGTAGTAGTAGTAGTGATAGTAGTAATGGTGGTAGTGGTAGTAGTAGTAGTAGTAACAGTAATAGTAGTAGTAGTAGTAGTGGTAGTAGTAGTAGTGATAGTAGTAATGGTGGTAGTGGTAGTAGTAGTAGTAGTGGTGATAGTAGTAATGGTAGTAGTAGTAGTAACTCCCATTTATATAATGCTTTAAGATTTATGCAGTGTTTTCCCTAAATTATCTTGATACTCACAACTTTGTGAGTATTATTAGCTCTGTTTACAGATGAGAAAACTGAAGCCAGAGGGATAACGTGATTTGCCCAGGGTCACACAGTTAGCAAATATCTGAAGGCACAATTTGAACTCGGGTCTTCCTGACCATTTAGCTGCCTCTAAGGAAGGTGGAAAGAGCAGTAGGAATGAAATTCGTTAACTTGGGCTTCAGAAACTGCCTCTAATGCTTACTCCCTGTGTAACCTGGGTCAAGTCACCTCCCTGGGCCTCAGTTTCCTGATCTGCAAAATGAAAGGGTGTGGCTATATGACAGGCTTAGATCTCAGTCCCCAGAATCTCCATGATGTGGGACTCAGCTGCAGGATGAGCTCATGCCGACTTGGGCTGGATGGATGGAATTGCCTTGGAGATCCCGGGGAGGGGACAGTCCCACAAGGCTCTTTCCAGAGTCCCGTGTTCTAGGCACCGTATGTTCAGTGGGGACACGGGGAAAACTGTAGGGCCTCTAGAGCATTTCCAAAGAGGAGAAGAGGAGAAATTCAGGAAGAGGAAATCTGCTCTCTCAGTTTGCCGTGCCTAGAGAAAGCCTAAGCTAGCGGCCTCCATCCCAGAAGCCTGGATCTCACTTTCACCCAGTAACAGCTGTTTGCTTTAAGACTAAACAGGTTCCTTATCACACCATCCAACATCCCTCTCCAGAGATATTTGGCAGAGAGGCAGCGTGGGATGAAGGAGGAAAAATGCCCTGGACTTGGAAAAGAGAAGGCCTGGATTCAAATCCTGGCCTTGTCACTGCGTGGCCTTAGACAAACCACTTCACCTCCGTGCCTCTCTAAAACTGGGGAGCTGGATCAGAATCTAAACTTGTGTAGCCTCATTGATCTCTGTGGCTTTCTCCCCTTGCCCTGGGCACAGCCTGGCGCTGTAAGGAAGCAGGGTCTGAAATCAGAACTCTGGACATGCAGGCTCCCAGGCCAGGCATCGTCTATTTCCTGAGCTCCGCTAGAAAAGATGTTCCAGGCACAGTGGATAGAGCACCGGCCCGGGAGTCAGGAGGACCTGAGTTCAAATCTGGCCTCAGACACATAACACTTACTAGCTGTGTGACCCTGGGCAAGTCACTTAACCCCATTGCCTAGGCCAAAAAAAAAAAAAAAAAGATGCTCCCACCCACCCACCCAAAAGGTTCTCTCAAGTTGGGCAAGGGAAGTGAAGGCTGCTGGTTAATGTATTAATAGTAATGATAACTGATGTCTCTGAGGGCCTTTAAAGTTGGCTGAGCGGCAGCTCGTTTGAGCCTCATAACAACATTGTTGTTCTGTCTTTTCAGTCGTGTCTGACTCTTTGTGACCCCATTTGGGGTTTTCTTGTCAGAGATACTGGAGTGGTTTGCCATTTCCTTCTCCAGCTCATTTTACAGATGAGGAAACTGAGGGAAATGTGGTTAAGTGACTTGCCCAGGGTCACAGCTCTGAAAATGTCTGAGGCCAGATTTGAACTCAGGAAGATGAGGAAACTGAGGCAAACAGGGTTAGGTAACTTGTCCAGAGTCACACACCTAGTAAGTGTCTGAGGCTGAATTTGAACTCAGGTCTTCCTGACTTCAGACCCAGTGTTCTATCCACTGAGATACCTGCCTGTCCACACAGCAACATTGCCAAGTAGCTTTTACAGTTGCTATTATTCCATTGTGCAGATGAGAAAAATGGAGGCTCAGAGATATTGATTTATTTACCCAGAGACATATAGCTAGTCAGTATCACAGACAGGATTCAAACCCAGGTCTCTGACATTAAGTCAGGAAGTGCTATCCACTACACTGTGTTGCCCATCTTGCCCGGGCTATTTACCGTCTCTCCCCTCCCTCAATAACACCGTAAACTGGTGAAATTTGTCTTTGATTATCTTCCTGCCCTGGCTGTCAAACCCCTGTCCTGCATTTCATTCTGGTGGGATGGGCCTGTGACCCATAGGGGTCTAACCCCACCCCACCCAGAAAGTGTGGGTGTCCATCTGGACGGCTAACGGGGTCCTTTCCTAATTCACTATATTTGTTAAGCATCTGCTACAAGGAGGGCACCAGGGAAAGAGACAAGGAGGAGGAGAGAAACTGACAATTGAGGAAATGCCTTCTACCAATGTAAATAGCAATAATAATAATAATAATAATAATAATAATAAATAGCCAACCATGCTTATATAACTTTTATTATTCTTGATTTTTTTTGGTCCGTGTTTTCCTTTGTAACATGGTTAATATGGAAATGTTCTGCGTGACTGCACACATATAATCTGTATCAAATTGCTTGACTTCTCGAGAAGAGGAGAGGGAAGGAGGGAGTGAATTTGGAAGTCAAAATTTTTTAAAAAAAAAGGAATGTTAAAATTTTTTTGTTTACTTGTAATTGAGGAAAAAAAATAAAAATTAAATGTAAAAAAAAAATAGCCAACATTTACATAGCACTTACTACGTGCCAAGCACTCTACAATTATTATTTCATTTGATCCTTACAACAACCTTGAGCGGTAGGTGCTATTATTATGATGCCCATTTTACAGAGGAGGAAACTGAGGCAAACAGAGGTGAAGTGACTTTCCCAGGGTCACATAGCTATTAAGTGTCTGAGGCAGGATTTGAACCCTGACTCCAGGTCTCTGATACTTTATCCACTGGGCCACCCAGCTGCCCCAAAAGGAAACAGCCAGGCCCCTTAAGGAGTTTACATTCTACTGGAAAGGAATCCTACGTAGACGCACCCAAGTACAGACGAAGCAATACGGTGTAACTTACAGATGGCAAGAATGCCAGCAAGTCAGTAAGGGAGGATTTGAATCTAGATCTCCCTGAGTCCCAGCCGAGAACTCTCATCTGCTAGTCTGTGCTGGCCCATTGCTGCATGGCCCCTGACCCGTGCTTTGAAGGGAATTAAGAATTTGAAAGCTCCCATGTTTGTAGGGCTTTAAGCATGACAGAAGGGCATCACAGCAGTCCTGTGGGGCAAATGCTGTGGTTAGCCCCATTTCATAGATGAGGAAACTGAGGCTCATAGAGTTTAGTGACTTACCCAAATTTGAACCTAGGTCTCCCCAAGTCCAGGTCCAGGCTTTGGTCTACTCTGTCCAGCTTGGAACAAGTGCTTTCCAGATATGAGGGCACTATGTGGGCAAAGGCACAGAGGTGGGAGATGGGGAACATTTCAAAGACCATTTCTCTTAAATAGGTGTGTTCTTCCTCCACAACCCCGAGTTTTGGCTCCGACAGAAGGAAAATCTACAATGCAAAGAACACTGACTAGACTAGACTAGAAGTCAGAAATCCTGGGTTCGAGGTCCGGCTGGGCCACTAATGAACTGCATGACTCATGTGCTGTCTGAGCCATAGCTACCCCTCCATAAAATAACAGGTTGGACCGGATGATTACTGAGGTCCCTTGCACCAGGCTCGAGGGCCTCCTGGCAGAGACACAACACCCAGCCCTCTTCTTGGCCTTTAGGAGCGGTGGGATGGGCCTGTCTCCTCCCCTGCTGGAAAGGACGGCTCCCTGGAATCTCCGGGTGACGCCCTGGCCAGCATGCCTGGGATTCTTCCGGCGACATTTCCCTCTAAGAGCCAGGCTTCCTCTGTCCGGTGCTCCCTGCCCGCCCTGTACTAGGGCAGTCTGTTCCTGTGCAGGGAGGCTCCCTGTCTACCCCCTCTGCGGGCTCTGGGGGTGGGCAGGTGAGTGTTCAGAGGTCCTGAGCCGTGCCAGGACGTAGCAGGGGAGGAGCTGCCTAAACCCTCCCAAGAAGCCGGGAAGATCCCTCTCGGCCGCAAGCCCTCCCCCATTCTGGGAGCCTACCGAGGTGTCTCTGGTTTAGAAGCAGTGAGACCCAAGGAGGGAGAGCAAGGAGATGGCCTGGAGTCAGAGAATTAGGAAATGGCAGGGTGTTGAGACTGTTGTCTTACTAAGTGGAGAGATGATTTTTCAGAGGATCAGAAAAGTGGGGGGCAGCTAGGTGGCACAGTGGATAGAGCTCAGGCCTTGGAGTCAGGAGGACCCGAGTTCAAAACCGGCCTCAGACACTTGACACTTACTAGCTGTGTGACCCTGGGCAAGTCACTTAACCCCAATTGCCTCACCAAAAAACAAAACAAAACAAAACAAAAACACAGAAAAGAAAAGTGAGGGTCATTATGCTTCATTGGTGGAATGAAGGCCTTGGCCAAATGGGCTTCTGACATCCCTTTCAGCTGTAGATTTGTAAAAATTGTGGAAGGATGGCTCCTGCAGAGTGCCTGGCACCTCACCTTGCAAGTGCCTGGTCAGTTCGTGTTGTCCACCTGTCTGAAGAGGGGCACTCCTGACTGTGCCAGGAGCTCATCCGATGTGACCTAACTTCCCTGGGCCTCGGTTTCCTCATCTGCAAATTGAGAGGAGCAGACTGAGTGATTTCTCAGGTCCCTCCCAGCTCTAAATCCTGTGATCCTCCCCAGCCAAGGGATATAGGGAAGTAGATACAATTAGCCAATACGTGTTTGTTTATTACATAATAGTGCCTGCCCTCAGTGAGCTCACACTGTAGTGGGGCAATATAATGTGTATAATGAGAAGGAAGGAAGGAAGAAAAGAAAGAAGGAAAGAAGGGAGGGAGAGAGGGAGGGAGGGAAGGAAATAAGCATTTATTAAGATACTTCTGTGTGCCAGGCACTGTGCTATGCACTTTACAAGTATTACCTCATTTAATCCTCACAATAACCCTGAAAAGTAGGTGCAAATAGTATCCCCGTTCTTGTTGTTCAGTCGTGTCCAATTCTTTGTGACCCCATTTAGGGTTTTCTTGGCAAGGATACTGGAATAGTTTGCCATTTCCTTCTCCAGCTCATTTTACAGATGAGGAAATTGAGGCAAACAGAGTGAAGCAACTTGCCCAGTGTAAGCCAGCTAGTAAGCGTCTGAGGCTGGATTTGAACTTAGGTCTTCCTGACTCCAGGCCCAGCACTCTTATCTACTGTGCCACCTATACTGCCTAATTTTACAGATGAGAAAACAGAGGCAGCTAGGTTGAATGACTTGCTTAGGTTCATAGCTGTCAGAGGCTGAATTCGATCCTGGGTCTTCTGACTCCAGCCCTCTATCTCCACTGCTTTGCCTGGCTGCCTCTAGTTGGGAAAACTACAAGACAGCCCATTATCTAGTTAGGAAACTTGACATATCCCCTCCCTTCCTTCTTCTTGCTTTCCCTAATTCAAGAACCATGTTGGTGGCTTGAAAAGTCTTGCAGAACTTGGATTAGAGGGTTTGGGTGAAAGTGAGAGATGGGCAGGGTTTGGGTCATAGCTTGGGCATTGGATTGTAGTCAGTAAGACCTTGGTTCAAATCCTGCCTCAGACATTTTTAGAGCTGTGACCCTGGGCAAGTCACTTAACCCTGTTTGCCTCAGTTTCCTCATCCGTCAAATGAAGGGGGTTAGCCATCAGGTCTCCAGTGTTCCTTCAACCTCTGGATCTTATGTTGTGACCTCTTGTCAAAAAAAAGTGATTTTCATGTCCTGCCCCCAGATCCCATTGATATCGTCAAAGACCCCATCCCTCCCAATGAGTACAAGTTGGAGGAGGACCCTCGGCTCTTTCGGTCAGTCAAGACGAAGAGGGGCCCGCTATCTGAGGACTGGATCGAGGAGTGCCTCCGCCACCCCAGCCACTTGCCCATCATGTGCGCATACAAGCTGTGTAAGGTGGAGTTTCGCTACTGGGGCATGCAGTCCAAGATCGAGAGGTTCATTCACGATGTTGGTGAGTGCTCCTAGAATCCCCCTTCTGGAGAGGGCCTTTTAGGAGATGGGGTCAGTGGACCTCCCTGACCTTAGAGCACATTATACTTGATTTACCCCAAAGGGCACCATGAGGACCGGTGGGCTGATGGTACAGGCACTGAGATAGATCTCAGTCCAAAGTGAGTGATGACGTGTGACCACAGAGCTATCCCACAGTAGACTGGGCCACCTCCCAGAAGGTCATGAACCTCATGCCTGCAGATGCTTAGGTACAGGCTGGACTTACCAGGATGAGAACCCTCAACCAATTTTGTAAAGTGGGGTTCAAATCCTCCATCTTCAACACAGTAGGTGTGTGATCAGGTCTGTAGAGCACTGGGCCAGCTTTGAAACGCTGCATAAATTATCATGAGCTCTTATTATTATGAATTAATAATTATCATTAAGTACATTTGTAGACTAGGTTCCTCAGAGCAATTCTGTGATAGAGGTTATTTCCTTTGTTGTTCAGTGATTTCAGTAAATGTCTGACTCTCTGGGACCCCATTTGGGATATACAAGCCTTGAGTATGTTTAAGTAACAAGTTCCCAAAATTGGATTAAGGATTTTACATATAAAATTGCATTGATAATTGTAAAGAAAGTGAAATTATTTTCTTATTCTCTAGCTCATTTTACAGATGAGGAAACTGAGGCAAACAGCGTTAAGTGACTTGCCCAGGGTCACACAGCTAATAAAGTGTCTGAGGCCAAATTTGAACTCAGAAAGTTTCCTCAGAGCATTTCTATGATATAGATTATTTCTCTTACTAGACTGTAACCTCCTTGAGGGCAGGAACCATGTCTTATTTATCTTTGTGCCTCCCAGAGGCTAGCAGAATGAATACATTACATGGTGGTTACTTCATCAATTAAAACCACAACAACTCGTCATTTATTTATTTTTGGCATTCTTTTCTTTTTAAATTTTGAGGTCCAAATTCTCTCCCTGCCTCCCACCCCGTCCCGTGCCCACTGAGAACACAAGCAATGTGATAGCAATAATACAGATCATATTAATTAATAAATTTATTAATTTATTTAATTAATTAATTTATTTATTTATTTACAAATCATACAGAACATATTTCCGTATTAGCCGTATCTTTTTAAAAAGCAAGAAAAATAAAGTGAGAAAATTATACTTCAATTTGCATTTAGAATTCATCAGTTCTCTCTCTGAAAATGGATAGCACTTTTTCATCATGAGTCCTTTGGAATTGTCTTGGCTTACTGTATTGATTAGAGCAGCCAGTCTTTCACAGTTGATCATCATTATAGCTTTGCTGTTACTGTGCACAACGACCTCCCAGTTCCTTGCCTTCGTTTCAGATGGGTCTTCCCATGTTTTTCTGACACCACTTCCTTGGTCATTTCTTACAGCACAATAGTATTCCATCACAATCATTTGCCACAACTTCTTTGGCCATTCCCCAATCGATGGGCATCCTCTCAGTTTCCAATTCTTTGCCACTACAAAAATATATGCTATAAATATTTTTGTACATATAAGTCCTTTTCCTTTGCTCTCTTTGGTGTATAGTCCTAATAGCAGTATTGCTGGGTCAAAGGGTATGCACAGTTTGATAGCCCTTCGAGAATAGTTCCAAATTGCTTTCCAGAATGGTCGGACCAGTTTACAACTGTACCAGCAGCTTATTAGTGTACCTATTTTCCCATATCCCTGCCAGCATCAGTCATTTTGGATATGTGCTTCCAAGGTGGTGGTGTCCTGGGAGAGGCTGGGTCATTGCTTTCCTGGTCTGCGCTCTTGTCTTTACTCAAGACGGGTCCCTGTTCTTCTGCCGCCACGAGCCCTACCTTGCGCTCCTCTCTACCTTGGAACTGCAATCCAGAACTGATACGAGCAATAGAGTTGCCAGTCAATGCCAGCTGCACCCAGTGCTAGCAAAGAGCCCTCTGTAACCTCTCTCTGATTAGTTGTCCGGCGCCTTTACCATCTCTAGGCTGAGAGCTCTCAAAGCTGCCCCTGCTGCCGCCACTGCCGCTGTTGCAGCCGCCTTCAAGGCCCCAGCCCTCCACACTGGCTCCCACCCCGGTGCCACAGATGTCTCCTGCCAACATCCTACATTTTCTTAGGCTGGAAGAATGTCTCACCCTGGCCTTTTGTTGGCTCTACCGCTCCAAAATTTGATTTGAGGTGTTGTTTTAAACCTGTTTGGAGAATGTTGAGAGAGTTCCACTGGGTTCCTGCCTCTGATCCGCCATCTTGACTCCACCCATTTCACAAATTTTGGATGGATGAATGAATGTTGTGGAGGGTTTTCCTGCATTGCACTGGAGCTTAGACTTGGTGCCCTGTGAGGTCGCTTCTTGCCCTAAGACTCTTTGACCCCATATTTGTTACTGATGAAAAGTCTTACTCTTGGGGTCAAAAAGTCCAATTTGTGAGTGTGAGATATGGGGGAGGAGAGACAGAGAACTGAGGGCCGCAGAATGCATAGTTTCTTCTCTTTCTTTGTTTCTGGAACACGGCTAATGCAGAAATTGGGTTTTGCATGATTTGTAATGAATTTTCTTTTTTATTACCTTCTCAATGAGTGGAGAAGGGGGAGGGAGAGAATTTGAAAGGGAAAATAAATAAACAAAATTGAATCTAAAGAGGATGAAGGAGTTACTGGGTGGCAGCTCATCTGAAGAAGATCTGGGGGTTTCAGACCCCAAGCTCGGCTAAATCTGCTGAGTCAGCAGGAAGAGGTAGCGGCCAGGACAGCCAATGCGGCTCATACTTCACTACATTGTGAACGAGATGATAAGCCGGAGTGTTCTGTTCCGTTACCAGGGCCGCATTTTAGGAAGGACTTGCATAAATTAGAGCATGTCCAGAGGAGCACAGCCAGCATGACGAGGGCCTTGAGACGCCATGGGGGTTGTTTGAAGGAACTGGGGGTGTTTAACCTAGATCAGAGACCACGTAAAGGCCACATCACAAAACATGTTTGATCGGCGGCCTTTTAGAGGAGATTTTGGTCTTGTTCTCTGGGCCCCAAGGGCAAAACCAGGAGCAGTGGAAAGGGCAAGCCTCGATGAAAGCTGTCCAAAAGCCCAAGTGGATCCATCGGAGTGGAGACTGAGGAAGGCAAGGTATCAACTCTCCAACCATAAGCCTGTCAGTCAGTCAGTCAGTCGACAAGCCTTTGCCGAATGCTCACTCTGTGCCAGGCACCGGGGCAGAGCAGACCAGGGGTGGGGCACGCTTGCTTCCAAAGATGAAACAATCCCACCAGCTAGGGAGTCAAGGTTGGGCTTGTATGGGGTGGTTCTTTATTCTTGGTTTGGTCATTGACTGCATCCCCAAAGGGCGAAGGCTCTGATCTGGCTGATTGAGGCCCATGGGGTCTGATGAGACTGGTAGGTGAGGATGGTGCCCTTGGAGAAAAGGCATAAGTGGTTGCTTGCATGCCTGAATCAAACAGTGACCAGAGATATGTAATGTTCAGCCTCCAGCCCAAGTCAGCTAGAAGTGGACTGAGTCTTGAAGGTCATAACATCCATCCCCCAGCCTCCAGGCAAGAATACAGTGAACCTCTGTAGAAGGCAGCATAGCACAGTGAAGAGAGTGAGGAATCTGGATGCTGAGGAGCTGAGCCCTGCCGTTCCCTGTCTTTGTGACCTTGGGCAGATCACTTTGACTTCTCTGGGCCTCAGTTTCTTGTAAAATGAAGGAGTTGGGGTAGACAGCTCTGAGGTGGTCCCGGAGAGGATTCCAGGTTAATTCCCGTACAGTGGTGCCTGCGGAAGGAGCCCTGCTCCCACCAACAGAGTCCTGGGTTCAGGTTTTGGCTCTGCCTCTACTAGCAATGGGACCTTGGTTGATTAGGTCTCCTTTCCCTTTCTCAGCCTGTTTGTTCATGGGAAATAATAATGAGTCGCCATGATGATTACATAGTACATGATCATATTTGATCCTCAAAACCAAAAAGGAAACAACCACCCCCTTGCTTTCCCTTTGTCACTTACACTGTGGTCAATAATCAATAAAAATTTATGAAGGGCCTTCTTTGGGCCAGGCACGGTGCTAAGTGCTGGGGTTACAAATAGGAGAAGGAAAGACAATCCCTGCCCTCAGGGAGCTTACAGTCTAGCCGGGGAAGAAAGCTGAAGTGGTGGGGGTGGGGGTGGGGGTGGTGAGGTACCCAGCCCAGGGGCAAAGTGAAGAAATCAACAAAATCTAAAATGTGGCCCCTCTCCATCTTCCTGTTGTTCTTGTTATCCTTGGTGAAGATGGAGGACAGTTGAAGTAGAATGTAAGCTCCTCGAGGGCAGGAATGTCTTTCTTTTTCCTATTTGTATCCCCAGGGCCTGGCTCATGATAGGCACCTCAAAATTACTTTTTGAATCACGTCAGATTAATCCCTGTTCTAGTTCTGGGCCTAAAACCAAGTACAGAGGGGAGGTACAAATTGTAGAGAAGATTCCGGCTGCAAGGACAAACTTCCTGATGTTGAGAGTTATCCAAAAGTAGCGTGGGCTACCATTTGAAGTAGTTAGCTCCCCATCACTGAAGAGCTTCCAGCAGAGACTGGATAACCACTTGCTGGTGGGTTGGACTTCATGACCTTGTAGGCCACCTGGGTTGGACTAGGGGCCTGGATGGCCCCTTCCAACTTTGAGATTTGGGGATTCTGTATTCCGCATATAGTCGGTTCTTAATTGCTGGCAAAGTAACTTTTCTTCTTTGAGGGTTTCATATCCAGCACACACACACACACACACACACACACACACACACACACACACGAGCATTCGTCTGCATGGCAGTAAATTTCCCCATCCTCAGTCTGACCTCATTAGTCATCTACTAGTAAGCAGTTCCAACACTCAACAAGTATTTCTGTCTGCACGAGCTTGCTGACCTCAGCTACGTGGTCTTCTCAGTTCCTTTGGGGAGTCAGGCTCCAGGCCTCCACTTATAGGCCTGAGGGGTGAGGTGCCTTGGGTTGCAGGCCTAATGTGTCTGTCTCTCTCTCGCCTAAGCATGCTGCTGACAAAACGGAAAGGATGTTGTCGGGAAGGAACCCCTGAGGTTGGGACTCAGGAAACCTCCACTTAAGCCTTGCTATGTGACCTTGGGCAAGTATGCCTGGGAAAGCATTTTGAAAAGTTAGATGGACAATACAAATTGGAAGTTATTTTTCATGGGACTAATAATAACATTATTTGAAGTCCATAAATATGCAGAGCCTATGATGACCTCTTGGGGTATAGTGGTTACCCTGGGGTATCACCAGGGCAGCTGGTTGTGTAGGTCCTCCTAAACCAAAGTTCCAGGTTCAGCAGCGGATTATGAGTCTGTCACTTAAGGACTAATCCAAGGTCACAGAGCTAAAAATATTAAGGGCAGTGCAAGGTTCAACCATCCAACATGCTAACATTGATTTATTATTGTTGTTGTTAAGTCATTTCAGTCATGTCTGACTCTTTGTGACCCCATTTGGGGTTTTCTTGGCAAAGATATTGGAGAGGTTTGCCATTTCCTTCTCCAACTCATTTTACAGATGAGGAAACTGAGGCAAACAGAGTGAAGTGACTTGTATAGGATCACCTAGCTAGTAAGTGTCTGAGGTTGGATTTGAACTCAGGACCTCCTGACTCCAGGCCCAGACACTCTATCCACTGTCCCACCTAGCAGCATTTATTTATTAATCCCCTACTGTCAGCTCTAGGGATACAAAGACACAAAATGAGGATTGCCTGCCTTCAAGGAGTCTACATTCTTTTGAAAAATTATTATTCTGAATTTGGAATTCAAACTTTGAAAAACGAATATTAAAAATTGTTTTTATGTGTGCTTTGGGAAAAATATAATACTAAATAGATAACTTTTAAAAATTATTATTCTGAACCTTAACATCAAAAAAGGAGCATTTTCATAAAACGGCAGAAGGTAAAAAGAAGATTCTGCATGAAACCTTGAATTTCAATTTGATCTTGCTTGCTTTAAAAATAATAATAATAGGGGCAACTAGGTGGCGCAGTGGATAGAGCACCAGCCCTGAAGTCAGGAGGACCTGAGTACAAGTCAGGAGGACCTGAGTTCAAATCCGACCTCAGACTAAACACTTGACACTTACTAGCTGTGTGACCCTGGGCAAGTCACTTAACCCCAATTGCCTAAAAAATAATAATAATAATAATAATAATAATTCTGCCTGTTACTTCCTTAACTGTCCTACTTGTCTATGCTAAGAAGCTTACTTTTTACTGAAGAGATAAACCATATAAACAGCTAAGGCTGTGCATGAGTTTTTTTTTTAAATGAATGAGAATGCATTTATTAAGCATTTGCTGTGTACTGAGTACTGGAGTTACAAATACAAAAGCAAAGACTGACCTTACCTTTTATTGATGCCTTTTGTTTTTGTAACTCACTCAGTCAATAAGCATTTATTAAGCACCTACTATGTGCCAGGTGCTCTTCCCTCACTCCCTACCCTTACTCTGTGAGTTATCCTTTATACTAGAGATTAAAAAGGATACATTTTATTTTGAGGAGGGATGGAGGACTACAAGAACTTGGAAGATCAGAAGAGATTCCTATAGGAGGCGGTTCTTGATCCAAGCCTTGTAAGACAGCAGCAGAATCATAAGGAACAGGCCAGGGTCAAGAGTCCTGGGTGTGTTTTCTGTTACTGTCAGAACATTAACTGCCCTCTGCCTGATTTCGGTTGGTCTGAGGGTGCTCCGCTCACGGGCCAAGTTACAGAAATCGGAGTTGAGGAAGGAGGGGAGGGTTGGGCTCCCCAGCGTGGCCACCATGGGCTCGTCACTGACCCAGTCCCTCTTTGGTCCCTTGGCCCAGGTCTTCGGAAGGTGATGGTGAGGGCCCACCGACAGGCCTGGTGCTGGCAGGATGAATGGTGCGGTCTGACCATTGAGGACATCCGGGAGCTAGAGAAAGAGGCGCAGCTGATGCTATCCCGCAAAATGGCGCAGTACATGGATGGCGATGGGCATGGGCCCCAGGAGCCCCCCAGTGAGGAGAAGGAAGAGGAGAATGCCTTGAGGGAGGCCCCAGAGCCCCCCAGCAGCAACGGGGAGGCCCCCAAGGGGAGAGGCCTAACGAAGCAGTGGTCCACGTCCTCCAAGTCTTCCCGGTCATCCAAACGAGGAGGTGAGAGAGCCAGACAGCTAGCCCTCCCCACCTGGCTCCCCAATCCGTACCCACCCTCTGAAGGCTGGCCATCTAGGGCTCTGGCCACCCCTTTTTTAATGTAATAAACACATTCCTGAAAAACTGTGTGTAGATCAAAAAAAAAAAATTTAAGATAAATCCTATTGTTAAAATGCACTGGGGCACTCACTCTAAAGGACCCTTTGTTGGGTTAAAAATCCTTCCCTCCCCAAGTTTCTGTTGTATAATTCTAGATTTTTACGTCCTTTGGGACCTGAGTTCCAGGTTCCAGGGGAGTCCAGCATCAGCCTCAGTTTCACCCTCGGGTCCTCTGGGCTCCCCTGTGTGCCCTACTAAGAGTCTGGGGTCTCTACCAAGACTTGGCATCGAGTTCAGATTCTAGCTTTTCCATTTACTCCCTGTGTGACCTTGGGCCAGTCACTTCCCATCTCTTGGCCCTCAGCTTGCTCACCTGTAAAATGAGCAGTTGGACCAGATGACCTCTCATCCAAGGTCCCACTATTCTAAATTCCCTGACTTGCTAGGCCCTCTCTTTCCCCATTGCAAGCCCTCAAATTCAGGGTGCCAAGTTGCATCCTTTTTGGAGTGCAATATGCCGATTCATGAGGTGTTCTAACATCCAGGAGTCTCCAGAGTTCTAGCTCCCCCCTAGCCCTGTTCGCCACCTGACTGCTAGGTTGCCGGCAAGTCAAGTCAACGAGCATTTATTAAATGCCTACTATATGCCAGGCACAATGCTAAGCACTGGGGATAGAAAGAAAGACAAAAACTACCCCACCTCCAAGGAGCTCACATTCTAATGGGGGAGGTAACATGCAAACAACTGCATGAAAAAGATCTGCAGAGAATAAATGGGAGTGATCTCACAGGAATCTCCCTTAAGAGGGATTGGGAGATGATCCAATTAGGATGAGCCAGCCTGTAACAAAGCTGCTGGCTCAGGGTGCCCTTGACCGTGGTTCCAGCCTCCACGGGGTGAGGAGAGGTGACCCACCCTGGGCACTGAAAAATCTGCTGACCTTGAGCCTCCAGCCCCATCCTGTCTAGGGTTCCTTCCCTACCCCACTGGGCTCTCCAAGGTGCTGTTGGGCAGGATTCTGATCCTGGTCTGCTCTGCTCCCACAGGAGCCTGGCAGAGGAGCAGAGACCACAGAAAACACATAATGAGCAGTCCTAGTAGACAGGTCACAGTGCACCCTCCTCACAGCAGTTAGGGAACAAAATTAGAACCTTGAACATGCAGCTTGAGGTCTGCTCTTACCTCCTGGAGGGTCTTGGACACCTGTTAAGGCAAGACTTCCGGGCAGCTAGGTGCACAGTGGATAGAGCACCAGCCCTGAAGTCAGGAGGACCTGAGTTCAAATCCGGCCTCAGACATTTCACACCTACTAGCTGTGTGACCCTGGGCAAGTCATTTAACCCTGACTGCCTCACCAAAAAAAACAAAACAAACAAACAAAAAAAAGACAAGACTCTCCATCCCCTCCCCGTCTGTGGGGCAGGACGAAGGAGCAGGCTAGGCATGAGGGGAAAAGTTAAGCAGCTGCTAATTTGTCCCCGTCCAAATCATGCCCCCAATTCTATACAGTGGCCTTCAGTCTGATCCTAGGCCCCAGTCTCTTCTCTTAGCCCAAATGCCATCATCCTTGTCCCAGGACGGACATGGGCTCAGAACAGGAGAATTCAACAGGTGTGTCCCCAGAGGAGTTTCATGAACTGAGTTCTGTTGGAAGTGGGTTGAGAAGAATTGGCATCTTAAGAGAACTGAGTGATGGAGGCTTCTGTAAAGTGAAGGAGGATTCTTCCGTCATCTCTATTGCAAATCCATCTATTGGGTTTGTGAATGTGGGACATGCCTGATTAATGTCAGTTGCCCAAGATAAGGATCAGGTGATTTTCAAGGCAGGCAGTCTGGTCTGTTAATCAGCAAACATTATTAAGCATTTACCACGTGCCAGTCACCATGTTAGCCAAGCCCTGGGGATGCCAAGAAAGCCCAGAACAGTCCCTGGTCTCAAGGAGTGGGCATTCTGATAGGGGAGGCCACATATGACTGACCAGGTAACATAAGATATCTGCAGAGTAGACAGAAGGAGGGGAAGGCAACTGGGACTCCTTGGAAAGGCCTCCTGCAGAAGGTGCAGTTTTAGCTGAGACCCGGAGAAAGCCAGGAGGCTGAGACAAAGAGGGAGGGCATTCCTGGCCCGGGGAAAAGCCAGTGCAGAGTCACAGGGTTGGGAGGGAATTATCTGATTGAAAGAAACAGAATTGGGATTTCTTGGCCCCCAGCTTTATTTTTTATTTTTTAGACACTCTTATATTCCCCAGTGAAGTAGAGTCCATTTCAGTCCATGGAAACATAATCAGGATCACCCAGCCCCAGGTTCTCTGAAGGTCATCTGGTGCATCCCCCTGTATCTATTCTACAGCCTCCGGTCACTCTCTGCCCTTTCCTTAGTAATGTGCCCCGGCCTCTGAGGGCACTCTTGTTCATCAAGTCCAGACGTCTAACCTCCAGCCTCCCAAGGAGGAGCCCTCTTCCCTGAGAGAGAAGTCGCTGGCCCCATGATACCTCTCCCTGTGGCAGGTACACAACCCTTCTCAGTGCTGAGACTCGGTGATAAGTCTGAGGTTTTTCCTTCCAGGGAGCCCTTCTTGCCAAAGCATCTCGGAGTGGAGAATGCAGAGCATAGCCAGGGACTCAGATGACAGCTCAGATGACGAGTTCTTCGATGCTCATGGTACGTGTCCTCTGGGCATGCTGGGGGAGGGCCAAAACATCATGGGACAGAGCAGAGGGGCGGAGCATAAGCAGCGGGGAGATCTAGGCTCTGGGAAAAGCTGGCCTGATTCAAGGGCAGGGGGTAGATTTCACTCATTCAACAAGCACCTATTAAGCACCTACTGTATGCCAGGTGCTGGGAAAGGTGCTCAAGATAAAAAAATGAACTCATCCTTGCCTTGAAGGACTTTAAATCATGTTGGGGAAAACATATACATATAAATGGTGGATACAAAATATAGTGAAAGTAAACACAAGGCATCTCTGTGAGAAAGGCCAGTAGAAAGCAGTCCTTACACTGAGCTTTAAGAGGATGGTGTGGATTTAAGAGGCACAGGGAGTGCAGTCCAGGTGTGAAAGACAGCCTCTGCATAGTGGTAAGAGATGAGATGTCTTGTGTGATGGACACCAAAAAAACCAGGTTGGCTAGAGGATAGCACGCTTAATGGGCAGCTGGTTAGTGCAGTGATGGAGTGCTGGGCCTGGAGTCAGAAGGACCTGAGTTCATATCCAGCCTCAGATGCTTACTAACTGTATGACCCTGGGCGAGTCACTTAACCCTGTTGGCCTTAGTTTCTTCATCTGTCATATGAGCTGGAGAAGGAAATAGCAAACCACTCCCCAAATGGGATCACAAAGAGTCAGACACAGCTGAACAACAGTATGCTAGGCACTGTGCTAAGTATTGTTATTCCCATCTTACGGAGAAGGAAACTGAGGCTCAGAAAGAGAAGTGAGCTGCCTAAGAGTCACAGCTAGTGCTGGCCAATTCTTGTCGAGGGAAAAGGAGGAGGGGCGGACCAACATTTCCACCTCCACAGACCCTGTCAGGCCCCCGGTCAGCTCTGGTGTCCACATCCAAGATGAGCCAGTCGGGTCACAGGGCTGTGTCCCCCCGTCTTAGAGGAGGAGACAGCAGCTCCTTCCTGCCACCACCCCTGACCTTTTATTCCAGGAGGGAAGAATGTAATGTCAGAACTCTTTAAGAGGGGCCTGGCGCTGGAGAGGGAACAGAGAACAACCCCATCCCCCCAGGAGCTAAGGGCCAAACAGAAAGTGGAGACCCGTGGCCCGGAGGGCAAATCCTGGTCCTGTGCTGCCATAAATCTTGGTGCTAGATTTCACTCGAATCGATAGGAAACCTGAGACCCAAACGAAAGCACTCTGGGGAGTGAGGCTGCTGTAAAGGCTGGGGGGCGGTCATCCACCTCCAATGAGGAAGGGCATAATGGGAAACGGGAACAAAGGGAAGGGTCTGCTGTGCGCCAGGCACTGAACCAGCGCTTCATAAACATTTGATCCTGGGAAGCAGGGGCTATGTTATCTCCAGGTGTTGTTGTTGACCTGTTTCAGTCGTGTCTGACTCTTCGTGACTCCATTTGGGGTTTTCTTGGCCAAGATACTGGAGTGGTTTGCCGTTTCCTTCTCCAGCTCATTTTTACACATGAGGAAACTGAGGCAAACAAGGCGAAGTGATTTGCCCAGGGTCACACAGCTAGAAAGTATCTGAGGTGGAATTTGAACTCAGATCTTCTTGACTCAAGGTCTGGTACTCCATCCATTCCGCCCCTTGCATGCCAACCCGGGTTCAGATCCCCGTTCCAAATCTTGCTAGTTGTGTGACCCTGGGCAAGTTACTTCTCTTCCCTGGGCCTCAGTTTTCTCATCTGCAAAATGATTCCTATGGTCCTCTTCAGCTCTGAGTCTGTGATCCTCTATAATCCTATCACATACCTCAGGAGGCTGTTGTGAAGTAAGCGTTTTGGAAACCTTGCACTCTAAAAGTCAATCAGCAAACCTTTATCATGAAGCATGTTTTATGTGCCAAGCACCGTGTGCTGGGTGCTGGGGATAGAGGCAAGTGTGAATCACTTCCCCTCCCTGTGGAAGCTTACACACTGTCAGAAAAGACTGTGTGCACACTTAGAAAAATCTAAAAAATGAGAAGGGAATGGGGGGGGGGCCACTATATTAGTATGGAGGCATCGGAAAGAAGCCAAACTGTTTAGCAGTTCAATTGAACAGGAATTTATTGTGGAGCCTCCCTGTGTGCTCAATCCTGAGGATACAAAGGCAAAAATTAAACATTTCCTGCCCTCAGGGAGCTGCCAGTCTGATGGGAGGAAACACATATATAAAATGTATGCAGAGTAACTAGTGACTTCAGCGTGGGGTGGGTAGAACACCAAGGGGAGGAGATCCAGAAATGCCTCCTGTGTAAGTTGGCCCCAGAGCTGGGCTTTGAAGGTTGACGAGGATTAGGTGACAGACACTTGCTAGCTGTGTGACCCTGGACAAGTCACTTAATCCTGCTTGCCTCAGTTTCCTCATCTGTCAGATGAGCTGGAGAAGGAAGTGGCAAACCACTTCGGTATCTTTGCCGAGAAAACTCCAAACGGGGGCACAAAGAGTCAGAAGCAACTGGAACAACTGAGCAGCAACAAAGGATTAGGGAAGGAGGCGAGGCTTAGGCAGCCTCCGGGAAGGCATGGAGGCCAGAGAAGGATGTTCAGTACTCCCAAACGACAAACCCATCTGCCTGGAACTCAGAGTGCGCGAGGCAGGGCCGGTTGGCAATGGGACCGGGAGGATAGGCTGGAGCCAGCTGGTAAAAGGCCTGAAATTGCAAGCAGAGGAGTGCTGGATTTTAAATCCCAGCCGGGATCCTCTCGGGCCCCTCCAGCTGCAGGCTGCGCTTCTGTTCGGGCACCGCCACAAGCCTGGTACTAACTCCCGTGCTGACATGACGTTTGCCAGGGCCCTCGCCACATTGTCAGAACCGGCTGAAGAGGTCAGCAGGGGCCACCGTTCCCACTGCCTCTGCCTCTGCTTATCAGATTTATTGGAACCAGATCCTCTCTGTTCCCAATCCAGAGTGTCCTCACTAATGACTTTATTAGCATCCCAGACACCTGTGAGAGAGCTTAGCAAGGGACCTCTTTGACCCCAGGCTTCTCCGGCTTCAGTTCTGGTGGCATCTCTAATTAAGGAATCAATTGGTTTTTTTTTTCCATGTAGTTCTCAATTATTCATAGTCAGAGCTGGAAGGTGCTTTAAATACCTGTAAGTTAGACAGTCACTAGGGACCTCAAGCCATCTAGTATAACCCATGCCTCAAGAATAATCATCTGGCCTCTTGAAGATTTCCCCATGAGGGGGAGCTGTCTGCCCTTGGGACAACCCACGCCCCTTTGGGACAGCTCTGATCGTTAGGAAGTGTGTGTTTGCGTCAAGCCTGCTTCTGCCCCTGGAGCTGTTGCGTCCTGCTTCTGGTCCTGCCTGGGGGGGCCCAGCAGAACAAGTCCATTAGTCTGTCTTCCATGGGACAGCTTTTCCAATCCTTTCCAGAGCTATCCTTTCTCATCCTGAATCTTCTCTTCTCCTGCCTAACCCAGCCCAGTTCTGTTAACTGATCCTGCTGGCATGGACTCAAGGCCATTCACCATCCTGCTGGCCTCCTTCTGGAGCCACTCCAGCTTAACAGTTTCCTTCCCGAACTGTGGCCCCCAGAACCGAGCCCACTACTCTAAATGTGTTCCAGTAAGACCAGTTATTGGCAGTTGGGCGGCCTGGTGCTTCATTACAGTTTTGCAGCATTCAGTTTTCATTGTTTTATTTCCGTTATGCTTTCTATTTACCTTGTGATTATCATGTTTTCGTGGTTCTGCTCACTTCCTTCTGCATCAGTTCATATGAATCTTCCTACTCTCCTCTGTATTTATCATATTCGTCATTTCCTACAGAACAGTCATATTTATTTAGCCATTCCATAATCAGGAGGTACATCTTTTTCCCCCTTGGTCCTGTACTTCCACAAAAATCAGTCAGATATTTATTAAGCACCTACTGTGTGCCAAGCATTATACCAGGCACGTGGGGATACAAGTAGTAAGAATGACGTAATCTGGGGGCAGCTAGGTGGTGCAGTAGATAGATCTCTGGCCTTGGAGTCAGGAGGGCCTGAGTTCAAATCCAGCCTCAGACACTTGACTCTAGCTGAGTGACCCTGGACAAGTCACTTAATCCCATTGCCTAGTAGGGGGGGAAAAAAAAAGAATGACATAATCCCCATTTTCCAGCAGCATGAATTCAGTGCATTTATTCCTAACTCACAAGGTGCAGCCGTCCTTTCTAACTTCTCAGCTCAGCACCTCAATAATTTATTAGCCTAGTTTCATTGCAGGCCTAACACAAGCCTCTCTTCTCCATTTCTTTGCCCCTGATGCATTTATTCAATAACATTTAATTTTTAAAACACATTATTTATTTTATTTTTAACATTCCTTTTTAAAAAGATTTTTGCATTCCTTCCCTCCAGCCCCTCCTCCACCCATTGAGAAGACAAGCAATATGACATCAGTTAGATATGCAAAATTGTGCAAAATATATTTCCGTGTCAGCCATGTACAAGAGTCATTTATTAAGCATCTGACAGACAGTTCGCCTAGGAAGTGCTGGGGGAAACTCACAAATAATCATTTGAGTCTAGGAGCTTCTCATTTGATGAAGGGCGGGGGTGGGATATGGGACAATGGGACAACTGCCCAGTAGCCTCAGGGCAACCTAGAATGGAATGAGAGTGAAAAGAACAGAAGGGCAGATCAAAGACTCTCGTGGAGTGGGCCGTGGGCTGGCAGGGAACAGGATGAGTGAAGAGCTAGAAGTAGTCCCCGATCAAAGATCAAATAAAGAACTGGAGGTGGTTAGCCTGGAGAACGGAACACTTCCAGCCTGCCTGGACATCTGCCTTCAAGGATTTCAAGGGCTGTCATGTGGAAGAGGGAGGGGTCAGTCTTGGTTGACTTGGTCTCCCTCACCTTGCAATGAATAATTGAAAGGTACCCAAAAACCAATTCCTTAATTCAAAGGTGGGGGGCAGGGTCCCTCATTGCCCAGCACCGGCTGGCAGAGCCTGGCTGACCGTTCTGAGGGTCATGTTCACATTCTGGTTGGGTTAGA